GATGCGATTAATCGCGATTAATCATTTGACAGCACTAATAAATAATAATTTTATTAAAATAAATTAATAATCAAAAATGTATTAGAATAACAAAATAATATATTTTTTTAATAAATAACAATTTGATTAAAATAAAAATGTAACAAATAATAAAAGTAATACAAAATGTTAAAATAAATGATAAAAAATTATATTTAAATAAAAAAAGTTAATAAATAATGAAAGATAGATTTCAGTAAACAATAAAAAATAGGTTAAAATAAAAATATAAGTAATACATCTAAGTAGAAAATATGTAGTAATTTAATGTAATAGGTACTAAATATTTTCTAAATAACATTTTACACATTTCTAATATGAATTTTTTCACAGTATAAATCTTTAAACATGAAAATATATAGCTGCCTTTTGAATTTTAGGATGGCGTCTAAAATTGGCGAAATTGTGTATATTTTTTACTGAATAATTAATGTGCTTTATTACACATACTGATAAAAAATGTATAGCCTGAATGCACTGTAAGTCGCTTTGGATAAAAGCGTCTGCTAAATGCATACATTTAATTTAATTGAATTTATCAAAAACACAGGCTTCACAGTTGTCCTTTTAACCTTTCGCTGCCCAACTCCACGACTGAAAACACATTTTGATTGAGCTGATGTTCTGCCTCAGATGCTGTCCATAGATCAGGAGTTGATGATGTTCAGTGTTCACCGCAGGTCTAATCTGATGGGAACCAAGTTTACTGTGTATGATAACGGCACGAATCCCTCGAAAACCCCCGGAGCGCTGCTGGAGGAAACCAACACACGGCAGGAGCTCGTCGCCATCTGCTACGTCAGTGTGTCTCTGTTCCTCTCTGTTTCTGACTATTTTTGCCCATTTCTTATTGCTGTGTGTATTTGTGTTTTTAGGAGACCAATGTTCTGGGCTTCAAAGGGCCGCGGAAGATGACCGTAGTCATTCCTGGCATGAACATGAACTTCGAGCGGGTTCCGGTTCGGCCCGAGTGTGTGAGTGTCTCCGCTCGCAGCTGTCAATCAAATCATCAGGATGAGTGCAGCTGCTGATGCATGAGCGCGTGTGTGTTTCAGGAGCAGGAGTCTCTGCTGAGTAAATGGCAGAATCACTCGCTGGAGAACCTGATAGAGCTGCATAATAAAGCGCCGGTGTGGAACGACGACACGCAGTCCTACGTGCTGAACTTCCACGGCAGAGTCACGCAGGCCTCCGTCAAGAACTTCCAGATCGTCCACGACAACGACCGTAAGTTACCTCAGATCTGTCACACGTCAAGCAGTGTGAAATACTGTATATACACACATATACATATATACATACAGTATATATATGTGTGACCCTGGACCACAAAACCAGTCATAAGGGTCAATTTATGCATCACCTGAAAGCTGAATAAATAAGCTTTCCATTGATGTATGGTTTGTTAGGATAGAACATATATATATAGAGATGTATTTTTATGAGAAATATTTTGATATTATATTCAAAATATAGATTTTTCTTTTTATATTTTCTGTTTTTATTTTAATGTTAGTTGAAGTGTTAGTAATTTTAAAGTTGTTGTAGTCATTTTTTTATTTTATATAATTCTTATTACTTTTTATTTCAGTTTTAGTTTGTTATTTTTGTACCACGTATAGATAATATTTTGAATTCGTTTTTATTTTTCTGTTTTCTTTTTAATGTTAGTTGAAGTGTTAGTAATTTTGAAGTTGTTGTAGTCATTTTTCATTAAAAAAAAAATAAATGTATCCAGTTTTTATTTCCTTATATTTCAGTTTTAGTTATTTTCATAAATCACGTTAAACTAAATGAAAATGAGAAATATTGCCTCTTTATTTTCTATTTTAATTTTAATTTTAGTTGAAGTATTAGTAATTTTAAAGTTGTTTTAGTCATTTTTATTTTTTGTTATTTTTCTAATATGTATATCATTTTTATTTCAGTTTTAGTTATTTTAGTACATCAAGTCAAACTAAATGAAAACGAGATATGTTTCCTTTTTATTTTCTTTATTCTTAAAATTTAAATTAATAAATCTAATCTATCATATATTGCCTTCTTCATGTAATGGACTTTCCAGGTAGGTTTCTCCTGCTCAACATTTAAGGTTTGCCTTTGGGTTTTTTTCTGTTGTTGTGATTGTGTGTTGGTGTGTTTTCAGCTGACTACATCGTGATTTTTTTGTTATTTTTCTAATATGTATATCATTTTTATTTCAGTTTTAGTTATTTTAGTACATCAAGTCAAACTAAATGAAAACGAGATATGTTTCCTTTTTATTTTCTTTATTCTATTTTTAATTTTAGTTGAAATATCTGTAATTTTAAAGTTGTTTTAGTAATGTTTATTATTTTATATATTTCTTAATTTATTTTTTAATGTCTATTTTTAGTTTTTATACATTTTTATTTCATTTTTAGTTATAGTTATTTTAGAACATCACATTAAACTAAATGAAAATGAGAAATGTTGGCAACTAGCTGAAATAAAATAAGTTAAAGCTTTTTTTTAATAATTTAAAAAATATATTTATTTAATTTGGTGCTTCACTCAGGACACTAGAGCACAATCGTCCTCACCGCGTCTCCAGTGTGTCCGAGGATTTGTGCTATATCACAATAATTAGAAATAAAAGGACCAAATTAATTATTTTGTAAAGGAAACACATCGAATCATTTAACTGTTTACTACATGAAATAACTGACAAGATGATCCTGCAACTAATTTTCCTGGTTTCTTTTTCCGAAAAAGAGAAGATTCGCTGGATTTATGCTTTAATGGACCCATAGAAAAGAAAACTGAGGGATATTCTGAAACGGGGAGATTTTATTTAGGCTTTTTATGATGTTTTCTGTGATGTTTTGTAAGTGTCTGATGGATATGAAGAGTATGTTGTTATGGAGAAGCTCACAGAAACTGTTAAGAACATTTTCAGGTCAGATTTTTATTGAAACTTGTTTCTGCCACGGGATAAAAATTTAAAAAAGGTAATTGTGACTCTCAATTCTGACTTTTATTCTCAAAATTTTTAGTTTATATCACACAATTCAGCATTATGTCTCACAACTCTTGAGTTTATATCACGCAATTTTGCATTTATATCTTGCAATTCTGTACTTATATCTTATTCTGTTTATATCTTGCTGTTCTGCGTTTATATTGCACAATTTGCAGAGTGCAAAGTTTATATCTTGAAATTCAGATTTTTTTCTCACAATTCTGAATTGCAAGAAAAAAGTCTAAATTGTGAGAAAAACTCAGAACTACGAAATATAGTCACAATTACTTTTTTTTTATCCCGAGGAAACAAGCTTCCATAGATTTCATCACTGAAATTAAAAGAAAAAAAAGAAGAAGTTATATTTTGCATTAAGAAATATAAAAACAAAACAATCATGTAATAGAGCAATTGGGAATTATCCAGATGCATTATGGTAGGGAAAGTTTTCATATCTAAAAATATGCTTCATTTTTTTTCTTTTTGTTATCAAGGTCATATGTGTCCTAGATGTATTTTCATGAGATTTACATTTTTTATTTGGATGATGTTAATGTAATTTTTGGCATTTTGCATGTTTAAATATGACATTTTAACACCTTCTGTTTTTAAAGGTAGTCTGTTATTTGTCGTTTCACTAGTCTTTGCTCACCAAAAATCCCTGAGGAAACACATTGCATGTTAATAAATGAGGAGAAGCACTGGACTCTTTGTTAACCTTTAAAAACTGACGCACACTTCCGGTTCTTACCGCTGCTGCATGGATGGTGAAAGTTGCCTTAACACGTGGCTGTAGTGTAAATAGTGCCTGATTGCTGGGTCACAGAAGAGCGTTCACATCCTGAGAAACTGTAGAAAAAAAGGGAAGCTCAAGCACCTTTGTTCCTGTTCAGTGTGTTTCCTATTGATATGATTGATGTGTGTTGATATTCATCATATGTTGTGTGTCTGTCAGCCAAGAGTGTACTGATATATATATATATATCCAAAAAGCTAAATATTTTTGTTTTCATTTTAAACCAATAACCTGTTTGCACATACTGTATTTTATGATGACACTGTTGGTAGAAATACAGTAATTAAAAGTCATAAATATAAAAAAAACAAATGCATTACTGTTGATCCTGATCATGTGACACATGGGCTTGAAACTACATAAGGCCTTAGCTCATATAGAGCATAGACTGTAAAAGAAACAAAAGAAAAAAAACAAGAAATATATAGTCTATAGATAGTCCTTGAAGCTGCACTGAAACGGCAATTTGGACCTTCAGTCCGTTGGTCCCCATTGAAGTCCATTATATGGAGAAAAATCCTGGAATGTTTTCCTCAAAAACCATAATTTCTTTGCGACTGAAGACAGAAAGACATGAACATCTTGGATTGCATGGGGGTGAGTAAATAATCAGGAAATTTTTATTCTGATAGTGAACTAATCCTATAAGTTAAAGGGGTCATATGATGCTGCTAAAAAGAACATTATTTTGTGTATTTGGTGTAATGAAATGTGTTTATGCGGTTTAAGGTTAAAAAAACACATTATTTTCCACATACTGTACATTATTGTTTCTCCTCTATGCCCCGCCTTTCTGAAACGCGTTGATTTTTACAAAGCTCATCGGTCTGAAAAGCGAGGTGTGCTGTGATTGGCCAGCTATCCCGTGCATTGTGATTGGCTGAATACCTCAAGCGTGTGACGGAAATGTTACGCCCCTTACCATACTGTGATGATGCCCTGTCCGACCAGAGTGATGATTCATAAACATTAAAACCCATTATAAACGAGGCATTCGTTGCATCCAGTGGGGACATAATTACTGATTATAATGACTTATACTGTATTTTTATGCGTTGCGTTGCATCGCGCAGCGTAAACATAAAACCATGTCTGCATTTGTGATCGGAGAAATGACAAACAACAAGCGCTACTCTACACTGCTCAAAACTCGCGTTTGAATCATCAGTG